TATTAAAGCATGACCGAGGAGTTGAACTAGGGTCTACCGAGAAACAACTCCAGGGACTTGAACCCGCGACTTCCAGATTCCAAGTCCGACGCGCTAACCACTCGGCCTCGCTGCCTTCAAAGCTATTCTGTACCACCCAACCACGGACGGGTTTCTGTGAGCGCTATCTCTTCCTGAATGTCCCTCTCCTGTGTATCAAGCGTTCTCTGCTTCTTTTACAAAAAACCCTTTGCGTATTGGAGCGAGAGCAAAAAAGTCGACGAACCAGAGGGTGGTGGGGCATCGATTTTATTTTGCTTTCGCTTCAATTTACGCGCGGCCAGAATTCGGAAAAGCTCTTCGTGTGGGAACGCTTGCTACGCAGGCTAGAGTCTCCTTTTCCATGACAACAGACGTCCTCCGTTACAAATAGAATTATCACATTTCGCCCATGTCATAATAAAAGCTTCTGCTACAGGTGTCGAAGAGAAGAATACAAGTACGTTGAAGTCAGCTTCACACTTACCTCGACCAGTTGTTTCTTCAGTTCACTAATTTCCTTTCTGTAACGTTTCAACAAAGTTCCATCATCAAGTACCTTAGATGCAAAATTAAAACAACATAAATGTAGCTAAATAAAGCGACAGAGAATCTTATTAATTTTTTTCCCGACAGTCTACATATTAAGGTCGTCATATTCATGCCCTCCAACGCAGTAATTATTTTCTACATGACTATTTAACGTATCATTTTAGCTCAAACTCACAGACGTTAATGCACTAACTGAAGCCAATAGTGCACTCAAATTGAATCAGTCATTTCATTGTTTGTAAACTAACTGACCCACAGACGATAAAAGTGTACGGTTTACCTCGTTAACTTCTGGGCAATTCTTGATTGTTTTGGCCCGGCTGGCAAACTGCAAGAAGGGGAATATGAATGCTCAAATTACAAACTGACAGAAGTAAAAGAGAAACAAACAAAGAAACAAACGAAAAACAACAACAACAACAACAACAACAAAAAAAAACAAAACAAAACGAAACAAAAACAGAGAGGAAAGTAATAACACTTTACAGTCCGATCGATTGCTGACAAGTGAGTAGAAAGATACCAAAACACCAGTAATATTTGTCCACGTGCAAATTTCACGAGAATGGACAAGCATTGGCGGTAAAACTTTGAACTTATCTCCCTTTGAGTTTAATC